TCGAGGACCTTGATAGAAATGTAGTGGAGTGAAAAGTACAATATTTGTCTTTCAAATGTAGGGAAGTTAAAGTTATAAGTTCCCAGAAAAAATAATACTCAAGTAAAGTACCAATACTCAAAAAAGTGTACTTAAGTAGGCTACAATACTCAAGTAAATGTACTTAGTTACTGTCCGCCGTGTGTGTGTGTGTGTGTGTGTAGTTAACATTACCTTTTAAGATTTGATTAATTTGAACCATTATAACAATCATATCATTTATAATCAGTATATTCTAAATCACTTCCCATCCCCATACTGAGGACTTTTGGGTACCGAATGTATTATTTCAGGAGTCAGTTACTGAAAAATCTTTTCTCGAGGTTAATATTCTTGGAAGCACACCAGGTTAAGTGTCTGTGGTGTGATGTTTGTGGGCGTGGTTGGGTTGAAGCAGTTCCAACTTGTCTTGCTTGCGGCGCATGTGAGTTGGGGAACCCGCGCTGGTGACAGACTATGAAGACTAGAGTTTATCCGGTTAAATTATACAACAATATCAGGTTGTTTTCCAATATGATGCTCTTCCTTGTATTAACGTGTTGGATTGGTAAGTCTTGTACCGGTTGACCAGTTACTCTCACGGGTTAATTTATACTTGTTACATTTGATGTGAGATGGGTGCTTTACTCGCACACAGTGTTTAAATTTACAATGAATACTTTTTAAAGGCTTTGCTGCTGGTGTTGATAAAGAGGATGATGAGATTGAGTCGCTAACCGTGACTTAAGGTGGAAACCTCACCATATCTGTTCACATAGAGAAATCGGACGAAGACCCTCAGGTTTTGGTGACTCGTCTCAAAGGCTCCTCGCAGGAACCGATAGCGCAGGTATTCTGTCATAATGGAGCCTGTGCTCAGAAGTGCTGGAGATCCCAGAGTTATATTCTCATATCTGATGGAGAGAATATAACTCTGATCCTGATGAACGTCAGCTACAATCAAACGGGGCTTTACAAGGTCTGCAAACTGAGCAGTAGACAACCGCAAAACAAGATCTACAAGCTTACAGTGTATCGTAAGTATTATTCTAGCGTGTCGCATTGTCTTCGACTTTCCGAAGTCTCGCAGGGTCTTATGAAATCCGTTGTAGTAGTTGCATCATCATAATTTCGCAGGATAGCAAGAGGACAGCAGCATATATTTAGCCAGTTATGAGAGATATTTGTTTGTTTTGATGCATTCTGACGTATGCGGGCATTTAAAAAGTTTGGGAATGCATAATAAATACATATCGCAAAGAACAGTTCCTGTTTTGTCTCCGGTGAGCAGAAACGACATCTGTACCACAGTGTGCTGCTAAAATGTCGGTAGATATTTGTGCCGCAGAAGTAGAATAAGGAAGAAAGTTATGATTCAACACAATCAATGACTGAACTCGAGTGACCTATCCGCTTGTTTAGTCTGACGTCACGTGCCACCGCTTCCGTGTCCAAACGCTCTATCAGATACCACGAGAAAACAACAAAAGGTGCTAATATACACTCACAATGTGATATAATACTAAGAAATCGGACGAAGACCCTCAGGTTTTGGTGACTCGTCTCAAAGGCTCCTCGCAGGAACCGATAGCGCAGGTATTCTGTCATAATGGAGCCTGTGCTCAGAAGTGCTGGAGATCCCAGAGTTATATTCTCATATCTGATGGAGAGAATATAACTCTGATCCTGATGAACGTCAGCTACAATCAAACGGGGCTTTACAAGGTCTGCAAACTGAGCAGTAGACAACCGCAAAACAAGATCTACAAGCTTACAGTGTATCGTAAGTATTATTCTAGCGTGTCGCATTGTCTTCGACTTTCCGAAGTCTCGCAGGGTCTTATGAAATCCGTTGTAGTAGTTGCATCATCATAATTTCGCAGGATAGCAAGAGGACAGCAGCATATATTTTGCCAGTTATGAGAGATATTTGTTTGTTTTGATGCATTCTGACGTATGCGGGCATTTAAAAAGTTTGGGAATGCATAATAAATACATATCGCAAAGAACAGTTCCTGTTTTGTCTCCGGTGAGCAGAAACGACATCTGAACCACAGTGTGCTGTTAAAATGTCGGTAGATATTTGTGCCGCAGAAGTAGAATAACGAAGAAAGTTATGATTCAACACAATCAATGACTGAACTCGAGTGACCTATCCGCTTGTTTAGTCTGACGTCACGTGCCACCGCTTCCGTGTCCAAACGCTCTATCAGATACCACGAGAAAACAACAAAAGGTGCTAATATACACTCACAATGTGATATAATACTACCAAAAAAAATTATAATCCTAACCTTTAACTCTATACCGAAATCCCAGATAGCCAGGCAATGAAAATATAAATAAATAAATATAAAAATTATTTGTGTTTGGGACGCTGTGAGCAT